AGCCATGAGATCGAGGAATCGATTCCTCATCAGGCTCTGCTTGGAGCTTGCTTCTCCCATGAATAAATAAATCTTTAAAAAAAAAACCCAACACATTAAGTTGTACAAAAAAACCATATTTACAGTGAAAAGACATGCTAAAGACTGGAAAATATTTGTGAAGGCTACTAAGCATTGTTATCCAGAATACATAACAAGCATTTATGAATCAGTAAGATAAACAATCTCATTAAAAAAAAATATATATATATATATATAAAAAGAAGCTGCTGATACATACCCTTTGTTCTAACATACTACCATTAGATTTACATCCCAGTGCAATCTTCTCAGTGATGGCTTTTTAGTTGTATAACAATAGGGGGCACTACTGAACAGCTTCCAGGGATGCCAGGCACTCTTGGCACATAGAGATGATGCTGTCCCGTCTCATGACTTTTGAATATTCTGTTGGTCACTCATTTAAGGGAATGAGGCAGGGGGTGGGGGACATATGGTCAGATATTTAAAAACAGGACTTAAACAAAATATATTTCCATTGCTTTAATATAGATGAAGATTTTAAAGAATGCAACCACTGTGTAAAGAGAGAAGACTGCATTTTTTTGGTCCAAACTTTACTGAAAACAGTTATTTCAGAAACTATTTTATCAACAACAGTGCCACCATTGGTATTTGAACAGCCAATTCAACACACCTGTTTTAATTTGCATCGGTAGCTTAATCTATTCATTGTGATACTAAACACGGTGCAAAGTGTCTGACTACTACTGTTTCTTCTAGCAGTGCCTCTTGGATTTTAATGTGTGCACAAATCACCTGGGAATCTTCTTAAAATTCAGCATGCGTCAGTAGGGTAGGGCCTGAGTTTCTGATTTCTAACAAGCTCCCAGGATTCTGATTTTACTAGTCCACTATCACACTTGGTAGCAAGATTAGAGCGTGGTTTGGTCTGAGTATCTACATAGTGAGACACAATATTTAGTGATAAATTCTTATATTTTAGTATAATGTAAATTTACTCTAAGTTTTCATTTTATTATAAGTTTGTAAGTTAAGTTTCAAATGAATGAAAGTTGATTATTTTGAATTTCATTTTAGTGCATTATTGGGGATGTTATAAACTGTTTTTTTTATAAACTTTCTATAAAAATGGAATATAGGCTCAAAAACCACTGCCCTAAAGGAAGTCTTGCACATGTACCTAAGTAAACATATACAAGAAAATTTCCTTCTTGTGTTTAAGAAGTAACTGGAAAAAACTAAAATGACCAACAGAAATCTGAGTTACATAATGAAACACATACCATTATCGCTGTAAAAATAAACTAGTTACCTGAATGAACAGATAAATCTTGGCAAATTGAATTTGGAAAGCAGGCTACCCATACAAACATTTAAATAGTTTTAAAATAATCAAAGAAAAGCTATACAATGTTAAAGGACATAAAGGCATGTAGTTAAGTATAAACATGTGGATAGGAAGGATGCATTTTAATTTCTGGTTAGTGGTTGGGAGTGGGGGAAAGAGGAAGTAGGATTTAAGAGGACTGTTCAAAGTACAAAGGAAGCTTCATTTTGTTTTGTAGTTTTATTTCTTCAACTGAGTAATGGATGCATGGATATTCATTATATTGTATGTTGCCAATATGCAAAGGATTCAGGACTAGAAGTCAGGAAATTCAGGTTCAAGTCTCAGTTCTGCTTCTTACAAATTATGTAGCTTTAGGCAATTCAAAGAATTAACTTCCCTTGGCTTTATTTTATTTGTAAAATTGTCGTAAAACATCACTTTTCCTCCCCAACTCACAAGGCTGGGTTTGAGAGGTATAATAAAGGGCAACTTATATGAGAATTTTCTTAACATGGTAGGTAGGAAAGGTAGAACAAAACCTTGGATATATTAGAAATAAGATCTACAGTAAATAAACCAACCAAGCTAATTTGTCCCTCTCTATTTTCTCATCATCACTGATTCTAAAGATATTAACAGCAATCTTAACACGGAAGAAATTTTGTTCTCAATTCTTAGATGGTGGCATATGGATAGACCTTCTCCTTATTAGAATTATTATTTCTTTAGGCTAATTCTTCACCAAGGAATTGAAATTCCTGATACAAAAATAAGAGAACTGCATTGAAAAACACTCTTATTAATAAACTAAATCAATGTCACATAACCAAAGTAACTGTTAGTTCTCTATAAAGTGAGGAGGTGGCACATCTTATTAGCCCTATATTACAGATGGAGAAACGGATTCAGATGTGGGATAGCTCTGCTTGTAGTTGCAGACCAATTCAATGACAGAACTTGGAACAGACACTAGTTGCCTAGTTCTTTTGTGTTCATAATAATGTTCATCAAAAACATTATTTTGCAATGATGTTTTATGATGATTTTGTCAGTCACAGGAAATAGAAAACCAACTACAGTCCTGCACAGCAAGGGACAAAATTAAAACTGCCTAGCCTGCTAAAAATCTAATCCTATCCTTTCCAATTAACCTTATTAATATTAGAGTAGGAGAAAAGAGAGGTCAAAATATGGGCGAGGGTGCTATTCATTTCCTCATGGACCTCAAATAATAAAATTACTGTACAACAGGGATTTTATTGCTTTTATAGGTTGAAACATGTCTACTTCCCCTGTTCTTTAAGCCACCACCTCTAAATCTCAAAAATTAAGCAACAAGCGAAGAGTTGGGTAGTCCCAAATAAGAACACTGGTAATTACGATTATTAAAATATTGGTCATGATTAGATACTAGATATGTTCCACAACTGAATGTATGGTATCCACACATGAAAAGACAAACTATGGAGAAAAGTTCATTTTAAGTTTCCCTGTTAACATAAACAGATACACGCTATTACAACATATACCTGACTTTTTACTCAGACTCATTTGGCAGTTCCAAATGCTGACACAAGAAGATCTCCAAAATTTTTTATTAGAGCCTTAAAAAAAAAAAATCAATGAATCATCTTGCGGATGAAGTATTATATGCATATATATTACGAAACATATTAAACAGAAAACACCTTTTCATAAACAGCCAAAATTTAAAGGTCACCCTCTCTGTATTCCGTTATTCATCTTTTTGCTTATCAAACCCACCTCACGCAGATTTAGATCACAGCATCACTTAAAAAAAAACCAAAAAAAAAAAAAACCCTGTGTTCTGGCATTGGCAGGAATCTCCCAAGGATCAAAGCTCTGAACTTTTTTTTTTCTTACAAAAAGCTGGGGTTAAACTCACTTTTCTTTACACACACACGCACACAAGAGCCCTACACAACGGTACACTCTTAACTCGACAGAACTTTCGTTTTAGGGTTAAAAAGAAATTTCCAAACAAAATCTCTCCTTTTCCAACTCAAAAGCAACTACGCAGGAGCCCAGCCTAGAGTTCGAGGGCAGAGTTTGAAACAGGTTAAGATTCAGGCAGAGCCACCCCGAGCGAGAAGAGGAACCCTGCGACGGGCCGATCCCAGGTCGGAGCGAGGCTGGCACACTCGAGGACATTCCGGAGAAAGCCTTCGGGCATCGCCAGCCGCACAGCGAGCCCGGGAGGAGGAGGAGGAGAACCTGACCCCCTCTTCCTGCCCACGGGGCGAAGAGCAAAACAAGTGAAACGAGACCCTGCTCCGCAAGGCGGACCCGAGACCTTTCCCAGTCAGTCCGTCCGTCCGTCCGTCCGTCCCCCTGCCGCCCCCGGACTCCCCCAGCCTCCGGGACCGCAGCGACCCTCCGACCTCTCCCCCCCCCCCTTCCCCGAGCCACCGGAGAAGCTCGACCCGAGGCGGCTTCCGCGGCGTCCTCGCCTTCCGCCGCCGCCGAGAGGGATCCCGGTCGCCAACAACAAAGACGCCTCCCGTTCCCCTCCCCCTCCCCCTCCCCCTCCCGGCCCGGGCTCGGCCCTCCCGCGCTGCGGCTCCCGGCCTAGCGCCCCCTCCCCGAGCCCGGCCGCAGAGCCCGGCCCACCGCGGCCCCACGCACCTGCACCTGAGGGGCCGCAGCCAAGGCGTCGGGAAGAAAGGGCCGGGAGAGACAGCCTCTGCCGACGCGCTGTCCCCCACAAGGTGCGACCCACGCCGCCGCCGCCGCCGGACTGTGCCGGCCTGCGGGCGGGCGCGGCCGAGCAGGGGGGGACGAGGGCTGCAGCCCCCGGCGCCGGGACGAAGAAGGACGGCGGCGCCCGGGCGGGGCGGCTCGCGCTCTCGAGCCTCGCCTCGCGCCGGCCCTGCTCCTCCACACGGGCTCGCGTTCTGCTGACTAACGGCCCCGGCGCGAGGCTCTGGGGCGGCCGCCGCCGTCGGCTGCTCTCGGGCCTCACGTCCCGCGCGGCCGTGGTCGCAGCCGCCGCCGCCGCCGCCTCCCTTTCTGGCACTGCAGGCACCAACCAGACCCAGCCAGGTCTTTCTTCTCCTTCGTGCTCCTTTCTTGGCTCCTCCTCAGCTTGCCACCGCGGGGCTGGCTCCGGTGGCGGGAGGAAGGCTGCAAGGGAACCGAGGGGGCGAGCAGAGCCCCGGCCGAGGCTGGAGTTGGTCACCGACTGGAGGAAGATGCCAAGCTGACCCGGGCTCCAGCCTGCGAGCGGGCCGGGGGAGGGACGCAGCCCAGCTTAGCCCGACTTCCGCCAATCACAGGCCGCCCAGCCGAGCCGGGCGCCGGGAGAGGCTGAGCGGAGTCGGCAGGAGGCGGGGACTGCGGAAACGAGGAGCCAATGACAGCAAAGGCTCCCCGCCTCTCCGCCTTGATGGGCAGCCACGTTCGGACCAATGGGGGAAATTCTCGCTTCGGAGGAAGCGGGATTTAGACGCCCGGGTTGAGAGAGAGGTGGCGCGGAGGGGGATGGGTCGAGACCGGGCCGCGTGGGAGAACCTTGACGGTTCTGAGGGACCGGAGGGTGGCCTTTGACCTCCGCGGTGGGTCACGTGGGCTGGCGGGGGGCGGGGGCGGAAAGGCGGGAGAAGTTCCTTCCGGGTCAGTGGCAGAAGCGTGGACTGCGTGGGGGAGAGCTCCTGGCGTCTTGGTCTCCCCCGCGTCTTCCCTGTACCGACGCGAGGCGATCGTGGTTTCCACGATGAGCTCCCAGAAAGGGAACGTGGCTCGTTCCAGGCCTCAGAGGCACCAGAATACGTTTAGCTTCAAAAATGACAAGTTTGATAAGAGTGTTCAGACCAAGGTAGGAACCTGCCTGTTGCACCAAATGGGACTCTAGGAAGGAATGGCTCAGTGGAGGGGAAAGAGGAAATGAGAGGAATTGGCGAGAGCGAATGTGGACCGCAGCCCAGAGTTAGTCTTGGCTGCAACGCAGCCTTTTCTAAAATGATATTCCCACGCCCTCTCTTTGACCTGGACGTGTTACCTCCTCGTAAATACAGTTGGCGGGCCACACTTAACCAGTTGCTTCGAGTGAACGGGTCCCTCATCAAACCTAAAATGCAAATGGGAGCATTGGTGGTTGAGCTGTTGCCATCTGGCTCCTACGTCTGCAGTAGGAGACGAGGATTGTGGCACGAGTGTCTCACCACCACGTTTATGCAGCCACGATTTCTCTGTGGAAATTCCAAGCCCATAGGTTCGTAGGGAGAATGTGAAAGATCAAGAACTCAGCCCGAGTGTTCTGCCCAACATAATTGTCTCTTGTATGATTGTTTTGAGGGTCAAATTATTTGGCGAGTATAAAAATGCTGGTTTTGTTGGTTTGTCAGTCATTTGCTTCTTTAGGAGGATTTCTGTGACCTGGAAGAAAATTCAGATGTCTGCTCCGAGGCTAAACTAAATGACGTACGCATTATTCTCGGTCATGATAAGTGTCCATTAGGTGATTAATTTCTCAACATTTAGTAGGAAGGCAAAGTCAGCTTTATGGTAATCTGTGATCTCCTTTTCTTTTTCTCTGTCTTCACTTACTTACCTTATAGATACTTGTGAGCACCCTCCAAGTACAAACCCTATGTTCATGTGTTTGCAGCATTGAAGAGTGGACTCTGCCTTCAAGGGGCTTATAGTTTTCTGGGTCATTGGACAACAAGCAAGCACAAAGATCCATAATTACAAATTATGATAAACTCCTTCAAATGACGTGAAAGATAGCTCAGTAAGGAAGAGGAAGGAGGGATATTTTCAATGGGGTGTTCAGAGGACCTCTCCTTTCCCTTACTTAGGTTGAGATTCAGAAAGAAAACCTGAAGCAGCATTTGATGGACCCATGTTTGTGGTCATCAATCGGTAAACCAGGATAAAAAGCTGTGCTCTTCCAAATAGATGTCTGTCTTGTCCTATATTTTTGCTCTGAGCTTTTGCACAAGCATTTAATTCTGAATGGTTTTCATCAGATGGTAAAAAATAGTTTTAATATTTAGCTACAATGTCGCTTACTCTACCTCTTGTGGTTTTAAGTATAAGACTTCTTGACCTTGTACTTGTGCTTTTCATTGTTCTATTTTTTTTTGGTGTTCTCTAAAAAACTTGTCATTACTCTCTTAAATCTTTCCATGATCTCAAACTCAGTCACTAAGGTTCATTTTATAGCTTTTATCATTAATTTCTTTGCCTCTTTTAAATCATGAGGAAGTCTCATTTGTCCATTGGTAGAACGACCGGGTATTTTGTTATTGGAATATCGACCAGGGCAGCCCAGGTGGCTCAGCGGTTTAGCGCCTGCCTTCCGCCCAGGGTGTGATCCTGGAGTCCCAGATCGAGTCCGAGTCCAACGTTGGGCTCCCTGCATGGGGCCTGCTCTTCCCTTTGCCTGTGTCTCTGCCTCTCTCTCTCTCTCTCTCTCTCTCTCTGTCTCTCATGAATAAATAAATAAATAAAATCTTAAAAAAAGGAAAAAAAGAAAAGAAAAGAAAATCTGACCAAAACAGCAAGAAATATTTTACTGAGGAAAAATTAAGTTGATTGTTTGTCTAATGGAGGAGTAATATTGGCTGCGTTCATAACAAATTCTTGAACCAGTTCTGTGCAGCTGTCTAAAGCCAAGATTTTGTCAGAAACATCTGACCCTGTCTTCATTCCTGTTTTATACCAGAAAACTGTTTGATTTGGTGCCATCCAACAGAGGAATGGTGAGAGTGCATGATAACTCTCTAACTCTCTTACTGAAAGGACTCCTTAAAGGACTGTAATGACAGTTGCCTATTTGTACCTCATGAGTTTGCAGGAGTCCTGCATAATAATTTCCTTTTCTGCCAACCAGATGGTCAAGACTTGACCAAGAATAGAAGTGGGATACTGACAGGTGTTTTATTGGGAAGGTTGTATAAGTAAAGCACCCATTCTCAAAAGGACATGGTGATAGCTGTCTTCATATGTTCGAATATAATCCAGAAGATGAGAGAAGCTTACTCTATAGTCTTCCTATTGGCCAAACTTGGACCAAAAGGCCAAAGTTACAGAGAAAGATGTCAGCTGAATATAACGGAGTCATCTAATAGAACCATGTCCTAGGATTTTGTAACCTGTCTTTCACTGGGATTACTTAAAAGAGGCCTCCATGGCAATTGGCCTGCAGTGTCCTCTCATGATTTGCTGAGATGGGAATAGGTTTAAATCTCTTCTGGTCGTTTGGTACTAAAATGTTGATTGTATCAAGACTGCTTTGTGTCCCTTTCTGGAAAGGCAGTGATGTGTAATGAAAAGAATATATTGGACTAAGAAAAAAGATGCACATTTTAGCCTCAGTTCTGTTGTTTATTTTGCTTTGTGATGTTAAGCAGTTTATGTCTAGCTTTTGATTAATTTTAATTTTAATACAGGGTAATTACTGTCTCTTATTTACCTCTCAAGATTGCTATGGGGTTCATTACAAAAATATCTTTGAGAAATAGTGATACAAATATGAACTGAGCCTAGAACATATGGGAATTTTGAGCATATGCTCAAAGCAATTAATTACAAAGGAAATGCATACTTCTTGGAGAATATTGAAAATAGAGACATGTATAAAGTATAAAAGTGGAAGTACCTTTTCCCAGTCCTGTTCATCTTCAAGTGTAGTCACTATTAACAATTTTTTTGTTAAGAATTTGTGTATGTTTTTAGATGTCTATGCATAATATGTGTAATAAAGTACATTTTTTGTTTCTCATTCAATTAAAGTGGGTATGTCCAAACACAAAGATTAAGCTTGTTCTTTTTAATGGCCATCTAATATAATATAAATGTAGAGTACCTAACTTTCCTGTTAGTAAATGCTTAGATTGTTTTCAGTTTTTCACTGTGACAAGCTGCAGTGAAATTCTTGGATTCGCATATTTGTTCCACATCTGTTATCCGGCACATTTGTTCCACATCTGTTATCTGGCACCAAACATTGTGCTAGATGCTATTGGTATAAGGGTGAGCATAATATAGTTTGGTGAGTGAGATGAAAGCAGTAATCAAATAATCTCTCAAGTATGTTAATACAAATTGCAGTAAGGGCCATGAAGGAAAAGTCTAAGGGAACCTGAAGGTGTCAAGCAGAAAGTCTTAAGTTTGAAGGCTGAAAGAAGACATCCCCAGGTTCTAAAGGATGGATAGCATTTAACTAAATGAAAAGGGAAGAGCATATTTGGATATATACTATAGGATACTATTTTTTTTATGTATACAGTTAGTGTTGTTTTTCCTAGCATTTCCTAAAGTGCCCCCAGATCACATCTTTGTGAGGCAAGAGTCAGTTTCATGGTTAATTACTTTGGAAATAGTGTATTCTCAGTCTCACTTTTAGGGATTGTAGTGTGCATTACATACAACACTGAGAAGTTCTGCAGTTTAAAAAAGTTATTTAACCAAAACTTGCTTGGATATGGAACCTTTTGGTTTACATAATACATACTGAATCTGAACAAATTTTGGGAGGAACGCACTCACTTTGGCAAACTCTGGTCTTTACCTTGAAATGGAAAAAGAAAATGAAGATCTGAAGCTGTACTCTCTAAACCGTTTTGGAAATACTTTTGTTAGCAGCAAATAATATTGATGTTCTTAAATGTGTTAGCCACTATGCATACTTGAAATACATCATCTAGTTTTGTTTTGTTTTGTTTTTTAAATTTAATTTTATTTATTTGAGAGAGAGAGTGGCCTGAGGGAGAAGGAGAAGCAGACTCCCCACTGAGCAGAGAGCCCCATGTGGAGCTTCAGCCCAGGACACTGAGATTGTGACCTGAGACAAAGGGAGATGTTCAACCGCCTGAGCCATGGAGGCACCCCTGCATCACCTAATTTTGATCTTCAAAATGACCCAAAGGGGCACCAAGCTGGCACAGTTGGTTGAGTGCCAACTCTTGATTTCACTCCAGGTTGTGATCTTAGGGTCTTGGGATTGAGCCCTTAGCCAGGCCGCACTTGGCTCAGAGTCTGCCTGAGATTCTCTCTCCCTCTACCTCTGCCCCTTGCCCTTACTAGTGCATGCATGCTCTCGATTTCTTTCTCTCTCAAATACATAAATAAAATCTTAAAAAAAAATTACCCTAAGATAGTTGCTATAATTATCTCATTCTGCATATTGGGAAGTTAGGACTTAGTGATAAATGATGTACTGATCCAAAGTTACATAACTAGTACCTGGCTAGCCATTGATTAGGTGATGTCTGTGCTAGGTGCCCTTGAGGGCAAATAAATCAAAACCCTTCTTTTGTGCATGTGTGTTGCAGTTGTTGTTTTTAAGTAACCTCTACACCCAATGCGGGACTCCAACTCACTACTCTGACATCTAGAGTCAGGTGCTCTACTCACTGAGCCACCAGGTGACCCAGTGTTGTTTTTTATTTATTTTTTTTTTGGTTTTTTTTTTTTTAAGATTTTATTTATTTACTCATTCATGAAAGACATAGAGAAAGAGAGAGAGAGAGAGGCAGAGACACAGGCAGAGAGAGAGAAAAGCAGGTTCCATGTAGGGAGCCCAACATGGGACTCGATCCCGGGTCTCCAGGATCAGGCCCTGGGTGGAAGGCAGATGCTAAACCACTGAGCCACCCCAGATCCCCAGTGTTGTTTTTTAATACTGCATTTTTGTGTGTAATAGCAGCTTGACACCACATTAGGGTCAGAACAAAGATGTGCTTTATTGCCATTGCCCCTAAACACTACCTTTTTGAAATATGTCAGAGAGAGTCTCTCCTCACAAGGTGTGACTGCCTGTGGTGTCACGTATCACAGATTGGGCTGTTTGGAATGGGTCCCTTCTAT